TTGACAATTTGTCCAGTCATGTCCGACTCTAAAGGGTGGTGCTCATTCCCGTCTCCAAGCCGTAGAGCCAGAGTTTGTCCAAAGAGAGTTTCCGTGGTCACGTGGCCAGCACGACTAGACACGGAACGCCGTTTTACCTTCCCACCGTGGTGGTACCTATTTATCTACTTGCATTTGCATGCTTTCAAACTGCTAGGTTGGCAGGAGCTGGGACAAGCGACAGGAGCTTACTCCGTCGCGTGGATTTGATCTTATGACTGCAGGTCTTCCGGCCTTGCAGCGCAGAGGCTTCTGCGGTTTAACCTGCAGTGACATATAAAACACCCTAGAGGAATTCCTCTACTTTCTTCATCTTTGTTTCCAAAGCACTGAATTTTTTTCTCTGCCTGTTAAGGCTTCATCAGTTCCATTTGATCTACCCACTCCTTCAATACTAGCAATTGCCCACTTCCACTTTTATCTTGGGATGTTTTTGCATTCCTAATTTCAGTCATATGCACAGCACAGAACTGGGAGCAGCCATTATCAATGTGCCAGGTGTGTGTGTGTGTGTGTGTGTGTGTGTGTGTAGACAACAGTGTGAAAGTCACATTGGGGCCCTGGCAAGGGGGTAGCAGGTAAGGATGGGGTTTTCATGTTCTGACAAAAAAGGTTTGTGTGTGTGTGTAAAAGAGGCTCTTTTTCATGTTCTTTCACTGAGTACTGAAAGCAAGCCTCTAAAACACGAGCTGCATGTTAAAGAAAGAAGGAAACAGGAATGTTTTGTGTTCTTCCATATTTTCAGGCTTCATTTAAGTTTTCTTTCACTCTCTGCATGACAAATCTTTATTTCACCCTAACAGTAACTTAATACATTTTTCATCCAATAGCATCACAAGGGCTTTTGCAAAGACATGGTAATACGACGAACAAGAATTGTTAGCAGCCAATCACAGCATCCGGGAGGAGGAAGAATGTTTAGTCTGAGCCTAGAATCCAGTGAGAAGTTCCTTGGCTCCTCCTTTCTTGTCTTCTTCACAGGCTTGAATTGTTTACTTTTTTCTTGATTTTTGGGAGGATCCCACTCCCCACCCCCATTCCTTTGGATTACTTTTGTTGTTTAAGTAGGCTCCCTGTTCCAGCATGCCTCCATGGAATTATAGTGGTACCTCGCTTAACGGGCGCTCCGTTTAGCGACGAAACCGCATAGTGACAAACTATTTGCGATCACAAAAGCGATCACTTTGTGATGTTTCCTATGGGTTGTTTTTTTTTTTGCTTTGCGATGATCGGTTCCCTGTTTCACTTACCGATCATTGCAAAGCGATGATTTTTTAAACAGCTGATCGGTGGTTCCAAAATGGCCGCCGGGTAAACAAAATGGCCGCCCGCTGTGTTTTCACACGGATTCCTCGCTTAAGAGGCAGCAAAAATGGCCGCTGTATGGAGGATCTTCGCTTTAAGGTCAGTTTTTAGCCCCTAGGAATGCATTAAACAGGTTTTAATGCGTTTCTATGGGCTTTTTAATATCGCTTAGCAACGAAATCGCTTAGCAGCGATTTTTGCTGCACGGATTAACGTCGCTAAGCGAGGCACCACTGTACTATTACTTTTTATCTTCCCAACTTTTTTTGGCCCTTTTGCTTCTTGGATTATTTTTCTTGCCTTGGCCTGGCCTGCCTCCTAGAGTCAAAGAAGAGGTGACAAGAGAAAGGCATCAAGTGGTGGTGGGGAAGAGAAGGCGAAATCTAATACTTTCATTTGTTTGCTTGTTTTTCTTGGTTTTTAGATGACGGACTTGTGTTTTTTAGTATTTTTCCCCCTAGTGTGTAGGGTGATGGTGTCAGCAGCATGCTTCTCTGGTTGATTTTTTAAAATGGTTGTTTGCTTAATTTATACAATATTTATTTTGTTAAATGTGTATATATTTTGGTGCATTTTTTAAAATGGCATTTCTTCCTCATGGACTGTTGCATGCTTTTGGAGCAGATTGATTCTCTGTTGCCTTGACTCTACCTCTCTGGAATTTTTAAAGGCTTTTGGAATAGCAGAAATAGAAAGGGGAAATCTGAAATCCAAGAATCTGAAAGATGGACTCCCTTTCCTCTAAAACAAAATAAAAAATAAACACCATAAGAACGAAAAACAAAACAAATATGAAAAAAATCCCCTTACACATCCTTAACAGGATCTCAGGATCTGCTGGCAAAAAGGAGCAACTGAGCTGAGAGGAAATGCCACACTTTAGACTTTTGTTGTTATTATTATTTTCAGGACCACCAATTAATTTTATCATGTGCTTGGACAGTGGCACCTCAGTGGCATTAGGACCCAAAAAATTAAGTTCAGTGTTAAAGAGGCAAGAAATAATGTGTGTGAAATGTGTGACTATACTATTTATATTACTCCAAAACCATCTTGGGTACTGTAAAAGATGTTGGAAAGATTATTTATCCTGAAATGCAGTTTAAAAATTGTTAAATAGTATGTGCTGATGTACATGTGGTCCATCTTTTAACACAGAGACACAACAAAGGCCAGCCTTGAACCATGAACAGCAAATAATACATGGAGGCCCACTTTATCAGCCAGCTCTTGGACAGATCTGCATTACAAGGACTTTCCCTGTGCAGGATAATAAGTTCACTAATTGAGTTCCAACAGCTTAGTGTTGAAGTCAACCATCAGATCTGCATTACAAGGACTTTCCCTGTGAGGCACTCTCTGCAGGATAATAAGTTCACTAATTGAGTCCCAACAGTTTAATGTTGAAGTCAACCAATCCCTTAAAATCATACAGTGGTGCCTCGCTTAACAATTACCTTGTTAAACGACAAATCCGCTTAACAATGAGGTTTTTGCGATTGCAAAACGATGTTTTAATGGGCAAAATTCACTTCTCAACGATCAGTTCCCTGCTTCATGAACTGATTCTTTGCATTAGGACGATCAAAACAGGTGATTGTCGGGTTTCAAAATGGCCACCTGCTGTGCAAAATGGCTATCTGCTCTGCTTTAGGACGGATTTTTCGCTGCACAGGCATCAGAAAATGGCCGCCCTATGAAGGATTTTCGCTGGACGCTGAGGAATTTCGCCCATTGGAACACAGTGAACCGGTTTTCAATGCATTTCAATGGGCTTTTTTATTTCGCTTGATGAGGATTTCACTCTACAGCAATTTCGCTGTAACAGATTATCCTCATCAAGCGAGGCACCACTGTATATTGTAGCAAAAGGCACAGAGAGGGCAGAAGACAAAAAGGATAATGCAACGCTATTATTTGCCCCTGCTTTTTTCTGCCACCCAGCAAACTCAGTACTCAAGTCCTTAAAGATGAGCCACAACTGAAGGGTTTATGTTTTCTTCAGCCTCTCCACACACGTGGTTCCAGAGACATGGACTAGGTACAGATAAGGCATCAGCAGAGAACTGCAAGTTTGGCTCTACTTCACATAACTGGGAATCAGTTGAAACTAAGGATTGTTCCCCACTCATCATGTCCTGATACTTCCAAAGGAGGAAAGGACCCCAAACACAACACAGACACAGTAAACTGAGTTTTGAAGCACCATTGTCTTTACTGTAGAATGGCAGAATGGCAATCATCTGCTACAATTTCAAAACCAAGGAAAGAAAAGTTACATTTCATTTAAAATAGAACAGATTAATTTAGTTCCCTTTCCTCCTTGGTGAAAAATATAATACTCAAAATTGCTTGCATTGCGCAAGGTTGCCCCAAAATATACAAACACTGCAACTGGGAACCGTGGGTTGCATATGTAACATCAAAACTGGGAACTTCAGAAGGATCCTGAACAAAGAAAGTGAGCAAGGGGGGAAGGGAGCCATTCTAATGATGTTGACTTAAACCTGTAACACCAAAAATTTGTTACGCCGCAAAACGTCCCCTCCCTGCTCCACAGTACAAAAAACAATTGATCCCAGAAGTGAGGCTGTAGGCAGTTACATACGAGAACTTACCAAAGGCCAGAGTTGGGGGGGGAGGTGGAACCCTAAAATACAATTTTCAGGTTACATAGTACAAATGGTGGTTGGTCAGAGGTTCAAGATGGATGATGAGATCCATGGCAAAACCAGCTTCAGCAACAGGAGACCGAGTTTGTGCTAAACAACACAAAATAATTCAGCGAAGTCCCACAATACATGTTCCGGTGGCCCTGGAGAGTTTGGGGGCATGTAGTTACTCTGCAGGTAATTGGTATCAGAAAAAGATAACATGAAAAATATGAAAGGGCTTAGAAGAGTGGTGGCTTGCTACAGCAACATGTGTCAATCTTTATGGCTCCCATGTTTTTTCCAGATGTAAAAAAAGTATACAATTCAAAGTGTTCTACAGATGGGAGATTGGCAGAGAAAAGACACCCAGGAGGTTGTGCTTCTTACGTGCCTTGTAGTAAAAAATACTTGCCAGACCTTGCTGCCATTGTGATCCCTTTTCCAGTCGCCCGAAGAGCAGCAACACCCTGCCCTTAGGGACAGCAGCAACAACAGAGGAGGTGGACCACTCAGATAATCAACTCAGGGGCTTAAGGGTTCTGATTGACAGCAATCAGATTACTGCTGTTGTCCTTATCCCGCTAACGTCTGACTAACCTTCTAAGGACTGACTGCTGATCTTTAGGTTCCTTTCTCACATTCAGCATGCTGCGGCACCGAACTGATCGGCCACCAGGAGGAGCCCTTGGGACAAACTAACATTGGCTTTCTAGAATCTGCTTTTTGCAGACAGAATCGGCTCCTGACAAAGTGGAAAGGAGCCATTTGTGGGCATTCCCCCCATCTTCCTTTTTTAACTCAGCATGAAGGGTTCACTAGAGACTGCATTCTGCTAACAGAAAGGCAAAATGCAGATCATGGAGAAGCAGGGGACTCACCCACAAGAACAGGGAGAACACTTCTCAGAAAAGAAGCTCAGTTCTGATGGGTTCCCATGAGACTAGGAACAGAGGCTTAAGCAACCATGAGCACTTGTTGATTCCTTCTGACTCTGCTGGAACAGAGGCTTAAGCAACCATGAGCACTAAGTATCTTGTTGATTACTTCTGACTCTGCTTTTTTCTGTGCTGACACCTGCTCTGTGTTCAAAAGCAGCATTTCTTCACATTTAGCATACGCAGAGCCCCCCAGGCTCCCAGAAAGGCCACAATACACGAACAAAGCTTTACACCCATAAATGCACAATGTGGCAGAGAAGACATAACCCTTTGCTAAAACAGCACTCGAATCAGAGGCAGGTAGTTCTGAGGTATGTTTTTAGCTGTGAAATAATGGCTGACATCCAGTATTAGGTTGCAGTTAGAATGGGATTTCTGAATCAGTGGGGATTTAGTGAGCCAATTCCTGCGTATGTTTCACGGATTCAATGAGCCTACTCTGGTTGCGATTTATTACTGGATTTCAGCCAATCTATAATGTTAAACACACATCAGTCACGCTGGTCCAGTGTTATGCTCCACCCTAAAAATGAAGCCTGTGGGGCTAAGGGGGTCACCTTCCTACAACTGCCTTGCCCATTTCGTGCACAAGCAAGTCCAATCATCACCTCTAAAGCAATTTCTTTCCACCCAGAAATTATAATACGCAAGAACTAAGTCAACCAAATGATGTGTGCACATGTGTGCGCATGTGCAAACACATGCCCCAATAGCTGGTTCAGTTTAGCCCAAGAGAGATTGCAGGGGGAAGGCAGCAGGAATCCTGTAGACAACAGGATTCAAAGATGGATTCTTAGCACAAGTCATACATTCAAGAGGCAGCTCTAGATAGCATTCTCAGATTGCCCTTCATTAATTACAGATGTGGCCACCAATATGTTCCGAGTCAGGGAGAAATCCAGCCAGAGTTTGGAAACTTTACTTTCTTGACCTCTAATTCCCAGAACATCTCAGCAAATATGGCACAAATGTATGACACTTCTTAAACTCAGCCAGGCCACTGATCCATTGAACTCCAGCTGAAAAGGAAACAAGCTGGGAAACATCTCCACCCAGGAAACAAAGTACTGTGTAGAGGATATAGGGCAGTGTTTCCCAACTTTGGGTAATCCAGGAGTTCATGGATTGCAATTTCCAGATGTCTTCACTACCAGCTATGCTGGCTGGGATTTCTGGGAATTGCAGAGCAAGAACACTTGGGTTACCCAAATTTAGGAATCAATGAAATAGAGGATAGGGAACAACAAACTGCCACAGCCTAAAGCAGGGGCCTCTCTTTGCAAATACCGATCTCCTTTACCACATGGTGTCTGTGGCCTTCTTTGAACATTCCTGGGATATGCGTTGCAGAGGGTACAAATTGTATACCGAATGTTGACTCATTGACCTAGCCTAAGTAGCATTCTTGATAGATGAATCCAAGAAAGACAAGGCACCAGTCCTAGTCGTACCACGGAACAGTATTCTCTTTTCGGACAATTTTAAAAGACTTAAAGGATAATAAATAAGCAAGGACATGCCTTAAAACCAAATTTCCCGATGCTGCAAGCCAAATATTGCAAATAACCATACTTCTAACAAAGGACAGCATTTTCCACACAAGAAAGCTCGAATTGCTTTCTGCTAATTTATTGTTGTTAACTATCTGGGTTTTTTGAGCATCTAGCAGAAATGGGAAATATTACATTCTAAGTGGATATGGCAGTTGTAAAGGCACAAAACTGTCTAGATTTCTACTTGAATCTTCCTTAAGAGTTGCACATTACTGGTCTTCTGGGATCAGAATGTGTTACCACATGGGCTCAAAACCCACTTCCTCAGCAGGTCATTTTAGCCTCATTATATTGATATTTTATTTCATGCTATCCACAAGCAGATTACGTGGACCAATACTCTTCCTGGAGAGTTCCAACAGTGAAAAAAGGAAAGGAAGAAACCAAACCTCAATTCGAAACTCAAAAGTTACAAATCATATATATACAAATTGCCCACTGTATATTATTATCCCCACTATTATTATTATTATTGACTATTTTCTTATATGAAAATGGTCTCTCTCTCTCTCTCTCTCTCTCTTTTTTTTAAAAGTACCGGGCTAAAGCATTGCCTGTCCCATAGCTTTTTAAAAACTCTGATTTTGCCATTCTCTTTTCTTTTTGCTGTGTATTCCTCAAAGCCTATGCACAAGACCTGGAAACAGCTATGTACTCAGAACTTGGAAATGTCTCCTTTTTGACTACCCTTTACAGAACCTCCCATCCCACCTGCCTTAGGTAGATGGCCACTGACCCATTCAAAAATGTAACTTTTCCATACTCTAGATACATGTATCCACTCAGGCTCATACTTGGTATTTGGGGCAGTAAAGGCTCATTTGCTGATTTAGTTTGCAAATGTGACAAGCTATTCTGTCTTATGTAGCTGCAATAAAAATGCTGATCTTCTTCTACTGAAGAAGATTCTCATTAATTCAGCCAGTCAGTGTTGGCCCTAAACATAACAAACGAACATATAATTCCTATTGAATTGTTTATTCATTATGAGAAAGTGTTCCATACAGACTTGAACTTTGCTTTCACCTTAGAAGTCCCTACAGTCCCTCCTGCCATCACTGTTTCTTTCTTATTCCTCTGGTGTTTCTTAGCCTATCACCCTAATCCTTGTTTCGCAAACACATTCTTCTCAACAGAGCGCTCTTGCTATTGAGGAAAGACTGTTTTAAAAGACCCCTCCTTGGAGGAGCAGGAAAAATCAACACATATAAATGCAGCAGGATTCCCTCTTGCTAGCTGTTTTTGCCTACAGGAGTAACTAGGACTTCTGAAAATTTTGAGTTCATTGCTGGAGTTAATGCAATCTATTAGCAGCAAGAAGAACTGACAGTGATTTCCTTTAAAAGGATATCACTATGCTTTGAAAATAGTGGTTCAGTTTCCCCCCTCTGTAGGGGTGGCATTTTTTTTCATCTCAGTAGTACCAATGGGGGTGTAATTGTCATGTGTCAACTGCCTTTGACTGGCAGGCATTAAGGACACCAAAGTGTTCCATCTAGGTGGCCATAGAGAGTATGGAAGAGGAAGCCAAAGGGAAAATGTCTGTACAGAAGTCCTAATAACTGCTCTTTTCTTTAAAGGAAAAAGAAGCACAAGTCAGAACAGTTCACACGGTGGCTAAACATCCCACCGGCAACCCTTAACTCCTGCAAAACAAGACAACAGTCAACTTTCCCTTCTGAAAGGGAAAGATGGCTGGATAGTCAAGCTCCATTTATAGCCCCTCTCCCTCCATATATACACATAGCAAGCAGACTCTAAAATCAGCAGATGCTGCAGCCAGATGCTATGCAGCTGCTAATCAGATTATTCTCTGTGATGCAAGCAAAGATCATCCCAGTTTTGGCTCAGTCTGAGAGAGCTAATTTTCAAAGTAGTGACATATGCAGAACGGGTGGTCAAAGCATCTGCAAATGGCTCACAGAGAAGGCCCTACCCCAGCTCCCTTAAAAAAAACAATCTCTGCACATATAAAACTGCCACTTCAGAGGAAAACATTCACCAGTTTCCTACTTCAAGTTCTTGCTTGCTGTCTGTTCTATGTCAGAATTTTCATGTAATGCAGGGACAGACAAGCTCTAGGAGCGGAAAGCCAATCTTCTGTGTCCATAATCCACTATGTGTTGCCCCAGCCTTGAAAATGTGGAAGAAAAAAAGAGGAGGAAGAAATCAAACACAGAATTAGCTAGAGGTTCACATGCACTTTCATAAAACCCCTCTGCAATTTATCTGAATGCAAATCTGTGTTCCACGAATCTTTTTAAAGTAAAATGTTTCTCCCAAGGAGAGGGCTGGGGCAGGCAAAGATGAAAAAAGAAAAGAAAAGAAAAGAAAAGAAAAGAAAGAAAGAAAGAAAGAAAGAAAGAAAGAAAGAAAAAGAAAAGGGGGAAAAAGCTTTGGGGGCTGCATGCAGCCTGTCTTCTCTACCCTGAACATACAAAAAATGACTACTACCACAATTTGTACTATGGAAACTAACAGCTCTGCCACCTCAATTTGTTGCCACATTTTGCATAACCTGTAAAATGTCCATTAACTTTGGCTACCCTAATGATCAAAGGCTTTTAAAACAGATAAAAAGTTTATTTTTAGTGCAACACATCAGTCTCTATGCCACAGTGTAGAAACAGAGGCTTGATTAATTCTACTCTAGGAATGTATCTGTTAGAATGTACAGTAAACCTAAACCAGGCATTAATGTCTGCCATACCCCACCCCTCTTCACACCAAGCTACTCTAGAAAATGGCAGGATTGAAATGGAAAATCTCCAACATACTGTTCTCAATATCTTCAGAAAAATGCTCTTTGCCAGGATTCCCTGGAGAAGCTCTGGCGATCAAACAAATGTGTAAGTCTGCAAATGTGGCACAAATAGTATGGTTAGATCCTTGAAATACTGAAGGTGCTGGCAACCATGTATGTAGTTAAGAATTTTCAATGGTTTATAGGACAGTAACTACTGCAATAAAATCAGCTCCCTATTTGTCCCTACAGGACAAGATTCTTAGCACCAGAATCACACCCAGTCGCTTCTTCATTAAGCTCGAGAACCTGTTGCAACTGCAGCAGGAGAGGTAACCCAAACCGTTTAGATATAATCAATACATTCAAAAGCCCAACATCCACAGGCCAGACCTACTAAAAGGTCTGGCAGCAGAAAATTTAAAGAATTGCACTAGAAAGTATTACTTGCCATTGCCAAGTTCTTAGGCTCATAGGCAGCCACAGGTTCATTTTTAACTTAAAAGATGGGAATAACATTAACAGTCAACTGCACTGAATTCTTTAACAACTACTCTTAGGAAGGAAATGCACAGAAAACCACAAAACAATGGCTGGCAGCAGAGAGGCACCACATCTTGAGGAAGCTTCTTCCCAGACGGTGGTGCCCTCACCCTCTATGGCACAAAGCTGGCAGAAATCTGTGGGAGCCCTTCTCTGTTCGCTTGGATCGCAGTGAGGACAGACCCGTCCCCCTCACTGCTTGCTTAACAACATCAGCAAAGTCTCCCTATTTGGGGCTACCATCTTCCTATCATCCTCTCATAGCCAACTGCGGTTAAAATTGCTGGTCAAAGAAAAAAGTGAGGGTACCAGAGAACACACACATGTTCTTCCCTAACCCCCTTTCCATGCATTTTGAACAAACACACACACACACATTTGTCACGCAAACGTCAGCAAAAGGCAGCTATGAGACAGGAACAGCAAACAGGATTCAATGCCTAACAGACAACAGGTTGCCAGTCAGGCTTACAGACAAAAGAAACAACACTGGAGGGCAAACTAAGGCCTTTGTGTCTTTCAGCAAATGACTGCGGGTAAAAGATCAGAGGAAATAACCTTTTGAACCCAGTTCTTGGGAAAGGGAGAGGAAAAGGGAATGGGATCACATTCTGACAGTCCTTGGGCAATCCAGGTACATTTGTCAATAGATATTTGTATTTAATAATAAGTATATAAAATATGATCAAAATAAATCCGAGTTATTTACAGATTGGAAACAAAACGATAATCACATTACAGGAATATCCCTAGTGCCACCACATCTCAGATGCACACTCTCCCATGTTTACAAAAGCGCTGTAGAAAAGTGTCCCAGAGGGAAAGCTCTCTCTTCCTCTCAATGGAGCCTTGGAGACCCAACTCCGGTATTTCTAAAACACAACTTTATAGAATCCAGCAATTGCACAGCTCTGCATAACTTTCACCAGCTGTTCGCTATGCTCTGGAGGCCAACTGCCTGGGGGTTGCAGATGTGTACACCCTCTTCAGGTTTAAGAGACCCACAGTCGGTCCGATCATCCTCGTGTGATGGGCTACGTAGCTCTGCCTGAACACTCAAGGGACACTGTGAGACTGAGGCAAGGGCTGAATTCTGATAACAGGGGACAGATTCACTCTGAGGATCTTCTGTGCTCTCCTCCTTAGTTCATCGTCAGAAGAGCTGTTCACCTTGATGGTCCGGAATTCCAACAGGTTCAAGGCCTTTGACGTCAGTTCTGTTTTACTGGGGGACGGAAGGGAACTGGGTTTCTTCTGGCATGGCAATTCTTTTCCTTCCTCCAGTCTTTTCCTTTTCTGCCCAACAGTCTCCTGATGGTTGCCCCCGCCTTGCTGTTCTCGTTTGCTCACAGATGACTCCTTTGCTCTAGAGGCTGCTGTGCTGCAGCTCTGGGACGCACTTCCAGAAATTCTGCCATTCAGGATTCCAGATGTTTTGCAAGCATTGCTTTCCTTCAGCACTCCACCCTTGGTTCCCTTTATAAGGCTCATAGTCAAAGCAGCAGGGGCTGGCATTTTCTTTGAGACATGCCTGTACCCTTTGGGGTCCAACTGACTGGGTGATATTTTAGTGGCTTTGGCCGCTGACGTCTGCCTAGAGGCACTGGCCGCCTTAAGAAGCTTCAGGTCTGAAGGAGAGATCTCAAGGTGCCCTTGTTTGCATTTTGATTCCAGACAGGATGCTGTAGCTTTTAGTGGGACCAAGGCTTCCAGCACCACAGAGAGTCTCATGGCTGGATACACCCCAGGGTACATGTTAGCAGGGAAACCCACTGCTGTGGCTTTCGATGTGCCTGACCGTGTCCGTTTCAATGAGTTCAAGAGGAGGTTTGTTGAAGTAGTGCTCTTGGATAATGGCTTAGCAGAGTCTTCAGAAGGACTTACTGTAATACCTGCTAAGGGAGCAGATACTCTTGCTATTCTTGCTATGCTTGTACCTGGAGCTTTAGCAGACTCGGAAGTAGGGGCAGCTGCTTTTGAAATGTCCTGGATGTTTCCCTTTGTCTGGCTGGGCATAGCAGCTGTGCATGAGCTGTATCCATATACGTCTTTACTTCTTAGGATGGTGGGCTGGTAGCCTTCTTCCCTGAGACCTTGAAGAAAAGCTACTAGCTGGGTTTCTGTGTCAGACAGGTCCTTAGACATGGGATTAAACACTCTGAGAGCTTCTTCCAAGGCTTTCTGTCCTGCAGAGGAGATCCTTGACCAGGAATGGACAGCTTTTTCTTCCACATTGTCCACTTCAATACTCATGGCATTAGGCTACCAGGAACGTCTATCAGGTCCAAGCCACTTAGAAGCCAGCCCAGGTCACCTCAAATGAAAACGAAAAAGCAGTTAACTTACAATCTAAAAAACAGAGACTTTTTTTTTAAACGAAGGCTCCTAAAACACATTTGCTATTCTGAGCCTGACACTGATGAAATGGAAGACTAAATCCTAGTCTGAGTGCCTTGGAAATGTGTTCTTATTGTCTGGATTCTTCTACTTATTCATATGTGTTGTGCATGGAGTTGCTTTTGAAGACGGTCCACAAACTGCAGCTTTTGCAAACATGCCAGAAAGAATTATAAACAGGACCAAACATTATGGAAGTACATTGGTCCTTTCTCCCCTGCATTAGCTTCCAGACCCCATTCCAAGTGATGATCTATGAAACTTCTACATGACTTGAGACCTGAGGAAATAGCACCTTCCATAATTACCTGTCAATGTTCTAAGCCAACTCCAGAAGACCTCAGGTTTCCTTTCAATTTGAAGTTTGGAAGGCCACCATGGATGAGGGCAACTTTTTGGTAGAGGCTACAGAAAGATTCACATGGGAAGATTACCTGGTACCCACACAATTTTCCTTTCAGTGGGTACCAGTTACTCCTCTCCATCAAATCAGATTCCCAAATTTCTCATCCTTTTAATATCTAATTTTAATCTTAGTGAAACTGTTAGGTATTAGGTTTAGCATATTACCGCTTCTTTGGCTCCTACATAAATAAATCTCAAAGGACCAGATATGTGGATCAGTTCATAGCAAACATTCCTCTTCAAATGGAGTTTTTATTTATTGTAGAATCCAGATAAATTCATTTGCACTTTAGGAAAGCATCTTTTGGATATCTTCGTTGTATTGTATCACCACAATCCCTTCTAAATAATGAATTGAATAGCAGCAAGGTGACACTACTATATTCTTTTTTAACTGGACAAGTGTTTACAGTAGAAAAAAAATTCCAAGCATATAAAAATGTTATTCCAAAGACAGGCAAGAACACATTTTATTATTAGCATGTATTTATCTTTATGTGCCATAGAGATTAAAACTGAAAATAATAAAGATATACCATACAATAATATTGTTGTAACATACACTTAATAAAAATAGATATTAAAAAGGCCTGTCAACATAAGACGGCATATTGATTGTACGGTGGATCTGATTTAAGTCAAATGGATTTAAATTTAAAGATTGGATTTTTTTACAATTTAAATAAAAATATTTTAAATTTAAATTGTGATTTAAATCAATTTGATTTAAAAACATCATACATTTTTATCCATCCTTATTGATTGCTAGGACTCATCTCCTTTTTCTTCTTCTATATCGTCACTGAATTTTCTTTATATTTAAACTTCCCTTCAGTCATTAAAAAAACTAAGATTATCTCTTCTTCAACCCATATGTGGCCAATACTCTGTTGACATTTATCTATCTGCTGTATGCAGTCTGACAATTTTTATGGACTTTTCATAACTACAACTAATTTTCCGCTTGTATCTTTGGCTACTATTTCCCTAAAATATCCTATATTTTTATCCTATACTGGAAGCCAAATAAAATATTTATTATTCAAACATTTCATTATCTAATCACAGGTTTATAGCATACTTGAAGGCCTCTCTTCATAGACCTCTGACAATTCTAAAGCAAAGAGTACTTCTTATATACTGTCTCATCACATTTAAAGCACTCTCTGGGCAATTTACCAACCTGAGAAGGATGGAAGGCTGAGCCAACCTTGAGCTTGTCATCTGAACCAATTGCGATTGAATTCAGGTCATGAGCAAAGTTTTGACACCACTATGACAGAAGGAAATTATTTTAAGTACTGTATAGTTAAGTATTGTGTAGTTAAGGCTGGTTTAACAAGGTCCCCCCAATTATCCTAGAACTGTAGCTCATTAAAAATACTTTTGTCTTTATTTTGGCAAAAAGGAATTCTTTGAAGGACCCTATTATCTCAACACAGTCATGACTAATTATAATTCCCTTTTTACAGTAAAAGCCACTATGTGCCAATGAATTATTTAATAAGTAGCTTTGCTTTTCAAATTACATCTAATTAGTTTACCTATGTTTAGGAAAGCAATTTTCTTGCCAACACACTTATTTGCAGTTTTATGCTATGTTACAGTCAGATTCTCTTCTGCTTTCTTATCAACAGGTGAGGTTTTGAGCCTTTTGACTGTCATTTTAATTCTTCTTATATGACAGAACTGTGGTCCATTTTAGTCCCTGTACACTGTGGCTGAAATTCAGCACTAAGTTGGTACTAGAGTAGATTTATAGAAGCAACTGAACCTATAGGAAAACTGAGTCACCAAATCCCCACTGATATAATGGGCTTACTCTAGTTGCAACTTACTACTGGATTTCTACCATTAGCTATTTCTAGTTCCCTGTGAGTTATACTGTACTTTATGGTGTTGATCTTTGGGTTCTCAGAATGGATTGGATTTCAGATTTGGATTTTTAATTCTAATACAGTTGTGGCTTTGTTCAGTATCCCAGGAACATGTTTTATAGGCTCCAACCATTATAAGCATACATACATACAGCACAGCTTGTTAAAAGTTCATTATCAAACATATGTTTTGATAGCAAGCCATATACACAAAGCTGCCTTACTCAAACCTAAGGAAGGAAAGTGCACCCCTAGCAGGTTACTCCACCTTCTCAAAGTCATATCCTGTCAAGCTCTTCATTCATATTTCATTCACAAGTGATAATTTTGTTCAAACATAATCCTGTTTTAAGAGTGCACTCCAAACATTAGCCCTTTGTTGACAGGGTTATATAGCCCTGTGTAGGCTGCTTCATATTATTGCTTTTCAAGGAAGTGAAGAGACATAATCAACTGGTAGATGTATGAGTAACCCTATCAAACAAATGTTAAATTGGTCCTCATTATGACACATAAACAATAATTATGTTCCAGGGAGAATCGAAGTGATGATAAACTTAGTACCTATTTAATCTCGGAACTGCAGAGTTGGAAGGGTCCCTATGGATCACTGAATCCAGGCCCCTGTCAAAGAGGCATGGTAGAGAATCGAACTCCCAGCCTCTGGCTCCGCAACCAGATACCTGAACCACTGAGCTATCCAGCAGTTCATTTGTTTGACTGTAGTCTTAATATCCCAATATTTCATGAAGCTAAGAATGCTCTTATGCACATTTTGAAACTTGCGGCACAGTGAAAGCTTTGCTGTAGCGAGCACCATACCAGTCAAAATGCAACTACTGAAGT